GATCTACAAATTTTTTTATCTGTGACCTCGAAATTACCCGTGACCTATAAATTTCTTGATCTGTGACCTCGAAAAAGCCGCCGGATCGGAGCAGTCACCGGTCGCCGGAGTAATAGCCGGAGCAATGGTGGTGGTGTAGGTGGGGTGAGGTGGGGTGCGGTGCGGTGATTTTATTATATTACAGTTAAATATTTAATTTAATATAATAATTATGAAATGTAATTAATTAACTTAAGAAAAACCTGATTTTTGTAATTTTAAACTGTTGGGCCTGATTTTTAATTTTGGAATAGTAAACACCTGAGCCATAAACTTTTCTCCTTCGAAAATGCGTTTTTTTATTTTTTTTGGATATTTTTTCTTAATTTTAATTAGAGTAGAAATTTAATTCTATTTGGAGTTAGTAGTTATCTTTAACTCTTATCATTATGTATAGATAGTACAGTTAGTCATTATTTACGGTCTTATTCAATTCCTTTTTTTTTTCAAATTACATTTTTTTCTCTACTTTTGAACCACATATTTTTCATCGAAATAATATTGCACGTAAATTAAAAAAATCTTTCTTTTTTAACCGCACATTCTCCATCAATTTATTATTTCAAAATACATTTTCAAAAAAGAATGTAGCTCAAGCGCACCCTAAAAGTTTAGTTATTATTCAAATTTTATTTACTTTTATAAATACGAGTTATGACAATAAGAGTTACAATATTTTACTCGTAAGTGAATTACTCACCCTAGAAAAATAATATTCTATAATATTTTACTGACTTTTCACTTGAAAAAAAAAAATAAACTATTGAAATACTCTTGTGGGAGTTTCTCGACTACAAGTACACGAAAGTGACTTGACACCGTTCATTACACGAGTTAATTTTTTAATAGTTGTATATATGTAGAAATTATTAATTAATTAATTAATAAAAACTAAAAAACAAAATTCACCAGCAGCATCCCATGTGCAAACAGTATAATATAGAAGCAAATAAACACATGTTTAACCTCATACAAAAATGTGTTCGTAACGTGGACCGATCGAGCTATCGACCTAGTTCAAGTAAAAAAAAATCATAATAATTTGAAGCGGAAAAATCAAGTAAAAAGGAAAATTTCAATAAGTCCATGCCCGCCAGCCGCGGCCTTAGATCGGCCTATGGTCTTAACTTTTCAAGAACGGATTGCAATTTGTCCGGTCGTCCCTTCTTTGGCACCAGAAAGGGGCGCCATATAACTTGAGCGTAACTTACAAAATTGATAATCTATTATTATTCAAAAATCGACGTTCATGTCATTTATTTTCTCGTTAGCAACAAACATTTATTTTTCATGTCACCAAGACTATAATTTCTTATGATGTTTTTAATACAGTAACATATAACTAATTTCTAAAACTAGAAATAAATTGTTAATATATCCAAAGTAATGTGTACCAATAATACAAATATAACCACTTAAGTTTTAATGAAACTTAAGAATATCCTTAAAAAATAAAAAGAAATTAAATGAAATGGTAATTGACAGCCAAATTGTAATTCTCTTAAATGAAGGTGTCCAGGATTGTCAACTCGTTTTGTATTATTTAAGGAAACTATAGGCAAAAAGGAGCAATTTTATTAAGCCCCCGTTCGAAAATCATTATTTCAAAATTATTTATTTTATATACTCATTTTCAATCACACATTCACACGATAAAACATTCTGCATGTAAACCAAAAAAAATTCTTTACTTTTTAACAACACATTTTCTAAAAATTCACTATTCAAAACCTTGTTTTGCTAAATAATGGCCATTAAACAAGGACCGAGTAATACAATGTAGTCTCAATCGCATTTAGCATAGTCTAGATGGTAACATGTATGAAATGAAATGAAAGATTCGTTGAAATGAAAGAAGAGATGGTCGATTTATTTTGATCTGACACATGTTGATACTTAGAATGGTGCTGTAACTGAATAACATATTCACTTTTATTTTCTAGCGCCTGTGGTCCTAACGACTGTTAACATTTAAAAAGATTGTTAAGTGAGGACGCTAAATGGTGAGTCACACAAGAGGGATTGATTCATTGAACTCTTTCGCATATGAATCAAACGTGTGAAAAATAAATGTTCAAGATAGTATTGTCAAGCAATGAAGATTAAAGGCACGAGAAAAGAAAAGTAACAATTTAGAACGATGACAACAATTGGGGACCAATCCTTCAATTATGAAGCATGTCCACATCTATATATCGGTGCATATGAAAATACGGAGTTTCGCATGAAACAAACTCCAGAGAAGTAAATGGTGTCTTGTCTTACATAATTAATGTGTACACGGAATAAATGGCGCACATTAGCCTATTAATTCTAATTTATATCAAGAACAAGTAACACGCCGCGTTCTAAGTCAATTATTTAAGAAAAAATATATTCCGCGTATTATTTTATCTTATTAGTTGACTCAATTATATCAGCAAGACATTAAATATAAAAATATGTTATAATTTTTCTTTATTTTTTTTTCGTTCTTTTAATGCACACATTTTATAGAACTTATATTTTACTGCTTATTATTCGCAAATTTCATAGAATCCGCAACTTATAAGCAAGACAAGTACTCAAGTGAGAGGATATGTACAATAATTAAATAAATTTTATATATGAGAAAATTGATTTTTTGAGTTTCGACTTTTTTTTTTTTTTTTGATACCCGGTCCTTTGCCAGTTGGGATGTGCCTCGGGGGGCGAGTTTTCGACTTATTGATTGAATGGCAAGTTGGTTCCCTACCAACAAACGGAATAGATTCTTGAGCTCGACTTGTGAATTTTGTGTCTGCGTATGGAACAAGATTAAATAGAAAAGAAAGACCGTCCAACCAAAAAATTATAAAATGTGAAGAAAAGATGATTATTTTAATTTTTAACGTTTTAGGATTGACAAAGTTGTTAGTGTTCCAAGAAAATAATATATTATCCACTGGTAAGTTGTAACATAAATTAATAATCCAAGCAGCCATGCTTCCAGTATTCAAAAGCACGAGCCTAAAATCTCTCTCTCTAGAACTCGCAATAGTTTAGAGAGAGCATTAATCCTCAATCTATTATCATAGTGGCAAACGAGGCCTTTATTTATTTTCTTTTCACATTTAAATCTCCAACCTTTGATTTTTCTAAATTCACTAGGTGTGTAAAGTAGGACACAAGCCGAACAACAAAAATCTAATATAAGTCGTTTGTCGGCTCACGCGAGTTGAGTCGCAACTAGAGGTTATACCAACCCACGACTCGGGTAGCAGTACACTCTACATGGGTGCTTTTAATGGCACCCGCATCAGCCGTGTGCCATCCATTAAGCATCCTCATATGTCCAATTAAATTTTTATTGAATTCGAGGTTTATAAATTGGGACGAGTAGTGAATCAATTTCATCACATTTTAGAATCTCTACAATCTCGATAATATGTCGCCCCTATATCTTTTTATAGGATAATTTTGCAATTATTATATTGTAGTGCCTTTATTTTCATATATTTATTCAGTTCCGACCTTTTGTAAAATTATTTCTATTAGTTGTAGTTTTCATTCTCAACTCTTCTACATAATTCGTTTCCGATTACACCGGATTCAAGTACCAATTAGATTTTATTCTTGTAAAGATTTAACTTTTAAATTTAAGGGAACACTTTATTGTATTTATTAGTATGGTTCTATAAGGTAATAAGTTAGTGACTAAATATGCAATAATTACCTAAACTTAATAAAAAGAATAATGCTACTTGCAGTCGTTCAATGCGGCAGTCGCCCTATATGACATATACATGTCAAGTGTGTATTTGATGTATTAAATATGGTCAAAAATTACCATATTAATACATCAAATAATTACATGCCATGTTTGTGCCACATAAGATGACTATTGCAGCAAACGACTGTAAGTAGCATTACTCTAATAAAAATTATCTCATCAAATCAAATCATACATAGCCTCCTTTACCCTTACCCATACGCACTCCGCCACCCGCCCCATAACAAATAGTGGACCCCACCGTACTTGATTCTAACGTTTTCTGCACAAATTCCTCAACGTGACATATATAAATTAGTCCGTTTTATTCCCACGTGCTCATATTCCTCTTCACCTCCACCGTCGTCTTCTTCTCTGTCCAACTTTTGATCTCCATAAATTAGTTCAATCATTCTCCCTATAATCCTCTCTCTCTCAACGATAATTTACAAACAAAAAAAATGGAGATTCTTCACAATCTCTCAGTTATTTCAACCTTTTGCTTTCTTTTTCACATGATCATATCAGTTACAGCAAAACCCAGTAATGATTTCTCCTATTTTGATCCAATAATTTCGATTTTGAACACGCCCAGTTTCAAATACAATTCTTCATCGGGAAAGAAATCCTTGATCCCAAATTTGGATACAGATTGCAGTGTATGGAACAGAGCTTGTTCTGAGGAGATTTTGAGGATTGCGATGAACCCAGAAAATGTAGAATGGATTAAATCAGTGAGGAGAAGAATCCACGAGAACCCAGAACTTGCTTTCGAAGAAGTCGAAACGAGTATGCTTATTCGTCGTGAATTGGCTAGAATGGAAATTGATTACAAGTTTCCTTTGGCTAAAACTGGGATTAGAGCCATGATTGGCACTGGAGGGCCTCCTTTTGTTGCACTCAGGGCTGATATGGATGCTCTACCTATTCAGGTTTTACCTTTTCTTCCCCTGTTTATTCTTTATTAGCGTGCTTGGTAGGCTAGATTTAACTGGATTAAGAAACAAATTAAAATTGAAATCTCGTTCGTCGTCTTGTTTAGTATGCTGGATTCGACACTAGTTGACAGGATTAAGAAAGAAATACGGTCGAAACAATATCCAAACATCCCCTTTTGTCCAGTTGGGTACACTGGATTTCAAGTGGATTGAACACGAATCCCAAAAAATGGAAGTTAAAATCTAGACCGTGATCGTAGATTTCTAATATTACGCATCAAACGTGCAGTACGAGTTTGTTTGATATGCTAGATTTGATGGCACTGGACAGTTTTAAGGAAGAAAAACGCATCAAATAGGCCCCCTTTATGTGTTTAAGCACTTTTTGTATGCAGAGTGATTAAAGGGGGACCATTCTTGGATAATGGACAATGTTCTTTTTTAAGGTTTGCTTATATTTCTGCATTTCCCTTGTATGTCATTGCAGGAACTTGTTGAATGGGAGCACAAAAGCAAAAATGATGGTAAAATGCATGCGTGTGGACATGATGTTCATGTGGCCATGCTTATAGGTGCGGCGAAGATTTTGAAAGCACGCGAAAATCATTTACAGGTACGCCGAATTGCCCGTTCTAGTATACTTCGTAAAAGTACATGCGATTCTTGATCTGTAGTTTATAATTGAAGCGTTTCTTCGTTATTTGGTACTTTGAAACTCTAGAACTCTTTGATACATACAATTTCAACATTGCCGTGTGTGATACGTAACATAGTCATGTAGAGCATTTCAGCTTATTGTATTGTTAACAGTTCAATTAAGTTGATAATACTTTTAATATGGGGAATCTTGAGGGGTTGATCAATTGATCAGATCTTGAGTTTGCTCCCCAGTGATCCCCAATTCGAGTCCCTCTCAGGGCCACTGAGGCGAGTACTGGCCGTAAACTTCAAGGTCCCGTGGAATTAGTCGAGGTGTGCGCAAGTTGGCCCGGACATCCACGGTTATCCAAAAAAAAAATTTAATATGGGGTATCACTTTATGTGGACTACATGAGCCTAAGAAAAAAGCAGAAAATTGGTTCATGGATTCTTAGTAGATGTAAAAAAAGTTGAATTGAAAGCATACCTGCTTTGCTATTTTAGCGTATAGACATATTTTGGTGAAAAAAGGCCCCACATACTCTGCAGATCAGCATGTTTCCCTTGTCATAAAAGTATGTGGTTATGACCTGACTCTATAGTGAAATGTCAAGTCGACCTTACCAAATTATGTGATATGACTCGACTTTACAGTGGAATGTCTAATCGACCTTACCAAACATATCATAAATTCAAATATTAGTCCTATCATGAACCCCCATGTGGGTAAGCCAATATTCATCGACTATTACAAAATGCATCTTTTGGAAATTTTTAATAACCTTTTTGCCAAACGTGTTTACTTTATCTGTTTGAAGTTTCAGCACAAAATCTAATTTTTGTGAAAAGTAACCTCACTTCCTATAATAATTTATAGGTGACACGTATTAGTACTAACAGATAACCATAAAGATAAATGCAGTAAATGATGTTCTGCATTTTTTGATTTTGGAAGAAAAGTTAAAAGGTTTTTTTTTTTCTGATTATGACTGCCAACTACTTTCAAGGACCACAATTTTAATGTGCAGTGGTAACCATGAATTAGGTATTTATCTTTTCAGTGGGGACATTTTCAAAGGAACCCCTGTTAATGAAAACCCTTAACGTAGGACTCGAGAAAAAGGTGAATTGATTTGTTTGAGGTCAAGATTGTAGTTCTCGAACTTTTCCGTCTAATTGTATGGAGATGATTGGTTTTCGAAAATAACGTGCGATTTTGATTCAAGATACCTGGTTGAACTAAATGTGACGATCGAGCATATTTCTTGAGCTACTTTTGGATAAAACGTAACACTATATTTCGTGTCAATTTTAACTTAAGTGGGAAGCAATATTTGCTTAAACCTTAAGAAATTTGATAGCATTTTATACCTATCATTCGGTAAGACAGGCATGTTTTATTTTTACACTAGGATGAAATGAAATGAGCAAGAAAGGTGGTTTTCTGGACCAGCCGTCCCACCACCAAAAATTGACAATGGTCGTGGACCTTTTCAAAGATTGGCCTCTGAATTTACTTGCTCTTTATGAAACCTGAAGCACAATCTTTCTCATTATCACTAGCTGTTTTGAAGTTTCTTTTCATCCTTAGCTAATATTACTTCATGTGACAGGGGACTGTGATACTACTTTTTCAGCCAGCCGAAGAAGCTGGAAATGGAGCAAAAAGGATGATAGCAGATGGTGCCCTTGAGGATGTCGAGGCTATATTTGCAGTGCATGTATCCCATCGGCTCCCTACTGGTGTCATTGGGTCGAGAACCGGTCCTTTACTCGCCGGTTGTGGCTTCTTCAGAGCTGTTATAACCGGTAAACGGGGTCAAGCTGCAAATCCCCACAAGTCAGTTGACCCTATCTTTGCAGCCTCAGCAGCCGTGATCAGCTTACAGGGTATCGTTTCTCGAGAAGCGAATCCCTTGGACTCTCAAGTGAGTAATTTTCCGAAAATTCACATTTGTATCCATCTGAATTATCCTTTTTACACATGTCAACTCAAGGACGTAAATTTAAATAAATAAGTTTGTATCATCTCTAAAAAGCTTAAATTTTTAGATGAGGCTGTTCAACATTGTTACAGAAATCTGAATGATATTTGCATTTTGTTTGATTTCTCAGGTAGTCTCAGTAACTTTCTTCAACAGTGGAGATGATCTTGATGTTATACCAGATAGGGTCGAATTTGGTGGCACCTTAAGGGCATTTTCTAATGCGAGTTTCTACCAACTTGTCAAAAGAATAGAAGAGGTTTGTCCAAGAACTAATCCGAGCTTGAAAAAAGTTGTTAGTTGTCGTGTGCAGTCCAGCATACAGAGCAATACCAAAATGTGACTATATTCTGTCGATTGTTCTAATGAAACGCTTCCAATGTCTCAAACAGGTAATTGTAAACCAAGCTCGGGTTTTCAAATCTTCGGCCACAGTTGACTTTTTTAAGGATGCTGACACAATTTACCCGCCAATGGTGAACGATGACCACCTGTACGAACATGTGAAGAAGGTCTCCACTGATTTGACAGGATCCAAAAAATTCCAAGTGGTTCAGCCAGTAATGGGGAGCGAGGACTTCTCATTCTACTCTGAGGTGATTCCTGCAGCCTTCTACTACATTGGCATTATGAATGAGACTCTAGGCTCAATACACTCGGCACATTCGCCACATTTCATGATAGACGAAAATGTCCTCCCAATAGGCGCAGCAACTCACGCTGCCATAGCAGAGAGATATCTCAACGACCAAGTTTCGTGATGGAAACTAACTTAATTTGGTGCTTGTGGAACATTGTACATAACAATTATCCTAGTTTTACCTACGTTTGTACAGAAGAGAGTTAAAAAATACGTTTTTCTCACTATTTATGTAGATACAAGTCCGTAAAGCTTATTTCGCCCCTGTTTGGCCACAATTATTTTAAAATTTATTTTTTCAAACTTATTTTCAATCATACATTTTATGATACTCACAACTTCTATCAATTTTTTTACCTCACATATTATCAACTTTTTTCAAAATCTACAAAAAATATGAATTTTAGCCAAATCAAACAATGGCTTCATGCATGAATATGAATTCATAATTTTCACTTTTAACGTGAAACTCAAGTCCTGCCAATAAGATTTTTACTCGTGTATAATCATCGAACACATTAGTCGAATCACAAATTTTCGAAAAATTGATCCTTTTTTACCGACATATTTTATAACAAAATCAACTGTAAGGGTGCGTTTGATTGCAATGGTGAAAAATGAGTGGAAAGAAAATGAATTTCAGTGAATTGAATTGCCTAGAAATTATTTTACAGGGAATTGTTGATTAATTGCGTTTGATTGGTATAATTTTTCCCTTAGAAAATGTTGGAATTTTTTATCTTTTGGTGTTTGATCCGCTTCGATTCTCATGGAAAATTGTGATTTTATTAATCTCCAAGAAACCATCAACACATATATGCTCGTTGTTCATAACATTCACACAAGAAACAATACCGCAACATTCAAATCAGAAAAAAAAATGGAAGCACCTGCTCTGAGCTTCTGATAAAATAATTGTCAACTACACAATTTCTTAAAACCATTAACCTCAACAAATCAAATAGACAAATGTTTAGAATCCCTCAAACATAGAAGTAAGCTCATATCAGTATCAATTTATAACCCATAATGAAGACTTCGTGGAATATTTTCAAATTTCAGATGAACTGAATAAAACAGCTGAACAAACAAAAAAACAACAAGAATCAGTAGCCCACGTACCCATTTCTATGTCGGAGGAAGCAATGGACCTTCGTCGTGAGAGAGAGCAGCAGACATGATCGTCACCTGGGCCAAAGAGAAAATGGCAGCTATCGATTCAGCGTGAGAGAAGAGAATCGAAGTGGCTTCTGGCGTGGAGAGAAGGGAAAGGGAAATGGCATTGCTACGGGAGAGAAAAGGGCTTGCTTCTTCCAATTGTAGGAAAAGGACGTAGCTTGCGGGAGAGAAGGGTTTCCTTCTTGCAGGGAAAGTCGATTCCCAGATGAAACGAGGGAAAGTGTATTCCTCAATTTGGTAGAAAATAGGTCACATGAGGGGAAAATGAGAAAATGTTTTCATTGGAAAATTTAGCCTATCAAACGTGTCAAAAAGTGGGAATTAGAATTTATTTTCTATCTTTCATGGAAAAACCTGCCTATCAAACGGGGCCTAACAATCTAGCTATGAACTAAACGAGGTGGTGAAAAACATCACCTAGTGAACCCCAAATTTGTCAGTAGAAAATTCACTTTTAATCTAAGCCAAACATGATCGAAGGTAACCCTAAATCATATCATTGAAAAAAACAAAAAAAAAGTAAGAAGAATTCAAAAGAAGTTAAAAAAGGAAAAAAAAAATCATCAATCAACAATTATCAATCGCCAAAATATTAACAACATCAAATCTCTGTTGATTTGTCAGTTCAGGAAACTTAACTAAAAATTTAATAAGTAAATTCCCTCTCTTGCCTGATTCTTTCTGCATTGCCATGCCTTGTCCTTGTAAAATCTTTTCATAACCAGGACGAATTATCTCATCAATTGTCAAGTTCATTTCTTGTCCTCCTAATAAAGGGACTGAAATATTGCAACCTGTTAGAGCTTCTACTAATGGAATCTCTACCGTTAACCGTAAATCATCTCCTTCTCTGATGAACAAGGGATGTCGTTTTTCTGCGACGATAAAGATTACATCTGCAGGGTACGTGCCCGGTGTCTCGTTCCCCATGCCCTCGAATGTTATTCGTGTTCCTTTCGTCCATCCTGGCTTCACTTTCACTGTTAGCACTTCATCTTCTTCTATAATTTGCCTGGCAAAATGGAAAGAATGTCTTGAGAGAGTTGTGAAAGATTGTAGTAATGAAGAATAAAGGGTATTTTTCTGAATGAATAGTACAATATACAAGACTAACTTCTTTTTACATTATCTCATCCAATTCTCCTCACCAAACATGTCATTAGGGTTGCATATAGATCGAGTTCATTTTTTTCAATAAAATTCTAACACGCACAATTTCATAAATGTTTCAACCACCTCAGCTAAAAGAAGAGGGTTTTTAGATGAGGCAATTCAACGTGGTATCATACTGAAGTTCTTAGTTTAGGCCATACCACCATGAAAATTATATAACATCGTCTACACTTGGGTGATAAGTTGAAGAAATAATTCAAAGATTAGAATTGTTAGTTAAGTTTTTAGATTAGGTGGTTCAACGATGAAATTACCCATCGTCTGTGATTGCATCTCTTATGATCTTGATCTTCTTGATGCTTCCGAAACACAACTCCTCGAGTGTGCATTCAAGTTGTTGCTCAATTGAGGGGGGTTTAATCAGTCCACTGGAGTTGGAATACATTATGGGAGTTGAGCCCCTCTTGATACTTGCCATTCTCGAAAGTGGGGCCGCTGCCGATGCCCCATCCACGCTATTCCTACGGCTCATAGTTTTCGAGAGCGAGGGTGTGGCCGCTGTCTGACTTCTGCTGTCAAAGCTGCTCCTACCGCTCATGCTTTTCGACAGGGAGGGTGAGGCTGCCGCCTGATTTCTGCTGGCGCTTCTTGACTGGGACGAGGAGCTTTTCAAGTGTTTATTAGAAGCTTTGTGCTTGAAAAAACTTTTTGGAGATCCATGGGGCTTCAGTCTTGAATCTTGCATGCCTTCTTTGTCTGTAGAATTCTGCAAATAGAATGGATGAAAATCACAGACTGAATCATTAATTAGAGTTTCTATCATAGTAAAACTAATCAAAAATATGTAAATAAGCCATAGGAGCCAGTATAGTTCAAATAAAACTCTATTAGTCCAATCAAAATAGGATCCAATTAGTTACTCGACTCGACTCTATCATATGCGACCTCGTTGAAGCATATAGGTTTCTTTCAACCATATTTATGGTTCTCGTATATGCATGTCTTTGTTACTTTTCTCGAAATAAATTTGATATATTCTCGAAGTAAAATTAAATATTTTCTGCTTTACTGAAACACATATGAAGGAAATATCCATACAGCTATTTACAAAGGATAAATTATTCAAGATTTCAAAATGATATTAAAATTTAAACCCCAGATTGCAATTGGATGGGAACTTACCTTGAAATCTTCCTCAATGGATTTTGACTTTTTTCCATCAATTTCTGCTTTTTTTGGAGACCCATTATTCTTATCTGGGTAGCAACTCGACACAAATGATTTGCATGCTCTACAGACATTTCCAAATCCTAGAAAATGGTGAAAATCTTGGGCATTTGACCTCGAATGTTCTGCCATGAAAAATATCAAGAGTTCTAGAGAGAGAAAGGGCGATGTATAGAGAGAGAAAGGGCGATGTATTAAGAAAATGAATGGTTAGCCAAGCATAGAGCGTTTTATGAGGCCCTCTGTTTGCAACATCAGTTAATTAAGAAAAGACAATCTGCACTCTATTTGTTCGTTAAGAAAGAAATGGAAGTTTAAAATTTGTCTCTGGTAATGTCTAGACATTTCCATACTGCAACATGTTTGTATCTGATCGAATATCTTTTCGTCCACAAATTTTATAGGATTTGCAATTTACTATAGGAATAGTATTTGTCTAAGATATTTGAAAGATACAATTTTTAAATTAAGAAATTTTAAATATCTATTTGTCCACAAATTTTATAGGATTTGCAATTCACTATGGAAACAATATTTATCTAAGATATTTGAAAGATACAATTTTAAAATTAAAAAAATTATTTTAAAATTTCAAAAATCTGATCTTAATTATTTTTTATTAATCAATTAGATAATTAAAAATATTTTATTTTAAATATGTTAAGTTCACAACATTATAAAGTTGATGGTCACAATTATAGAACGTTACAGTCACAAATTAAAATTTTTATAGGTTACAACTTATTTATCGATCAGAAATTATCAAATTAATTGATCAAATATTATTTCTCGTTCGAAAATCACATATTTTACAGTTCACAAGTTATTTTATGATCACAAATATCAAATTAATTGGTCACAACTTAACAAATTGTGAGATATGATTACAAATTTAATCGCAATCTCACATATTTTTAGTCATATATTATTATTGATCACAAATTATCTATTTTATCGATCACAAGTTAATCAATTTATTGGTCACAATCAATCAAATAATTTGTTACAAAAACTTTTCACCCCACCCCACTCATCCTACCCTATCCTATCCCACCCAGCCGCCAATCCACCACTAGAAACATCTGAACGTCACACCACCACCATCACCACCAACTCGTCGTTCTAGTCCACCGCTTGCTCCACCTCCTAGTCCACCACACCTCCTACTCTTCCCCCCAAGTCCACCTCCAGATCCACATTCCAATTTATCGTCAACTGTACTTCCCAGTTCACCGCCACCAGGGGCGGATTCAAAAAGTCGAGTGAGCTAGGGCGGGTCGTTGACCGTTGATAGTAGCAATAACGAGATTATTTATTAATATTTAATATAATAATATTTAAAAAATTCAATCATATAAACATAAAAGTCATACACATAAAAATCTAATCCAATACAATCCAAAAATAATAATAATAATAAGAAAAAAATATTTTTTGAATCATATACGTATTTTTATGAACTTAAATGAGATAAGATAAAGTTCATACGTAAATCATGATTAAACGGTAAATACAAGTTTTGAATTTAGGCGAAACTTTTATAACAATGATTTTTAGAACTATTTTTGAAAAAATAAAATATTTTTCGAACTCTTAAAAGAATAAAGCGCACTACTTAGATTGTCCAAAATTAGATTTTAAGAATAAATTGATAAAACCTAACAATAAAAGTATATATGAAGAATAGTTATCATACTTGATCCAATCGTTAATTGGATAAATTATCGGGTCAGGGATTCAACCACTAAGTCATTGCAAGGTCGAATTTTAGTTAAAAATAATAATTTTTAAAGCAAAGAGTCTATTACTTTGATAAAACCGAATATATATATACATACATACGCACACACATATATATATATTCTTGTCAAATTTATTATTAATAGCCTTCAATTGACATAATGGTCAAGCTTTTCACTATCATATAGTGAGTATAGGTTTGAATCTTATTTATTGCAAATGAGATATAAAATTTTGCTTTCAACCAATTTTGCAGCTAAAAATTTAAAACAAGGATCGGAGTTTCCCAGTATCGAATCCTATGCCTTTCATTTGCAAAGTTAGCGGTATACCATATGAACTACAGAACCATTTGTTCAACTTTGGTACATTTATAAATATTTTACATCATTTGTCAAACCTTTATAATCCTTTCATTTCCGGCGGATTCAGCACAAGTGGCAGCGCCGACTCTCCAAGTGTTGAACCAGCCACAATAGACACCATATGCTCCTCCACCTAGTCCACCCCACCTCTACCTCTAAGACTGCCTAACTGCGAAAATAATTGGTAACTAATTGAGTCGCTAATTGCAACGGAGCGCTGTGCAATTAGCTTCGCTTCATAAAAAAAAAAAATCCCACCTGTTTACCATAATTATTTTTATATTTAAAACCTTTCCATAATTCGATTATCAACACGTGACTTATATATTCATTTCTCGAGAATCTAAATTTCTGGGATTTCTTATAATCTTAGGCAATTTTTAATATTTAATTCTCCAAATCATTAGAATGTGTTAAGATGCGAACAGTACTTTTTATGTAAATATGGTTTGAATTTCAATCAAATTTCACTTTTTCCAGTTTATTATCCTATTACTACCTGCACAAATCACAATTATTGAATTCCTTCACTTGGCAAAGTTTGGGGGTATTTATACTTTTGGACACATCAATTCTTTGCTCATAATTATCTCTACTAGAAAAGTAAATTTGCATGTGCAAAAAAATGGAATAAAAACGTTGATCGTGAACCCACGTAACAATTGAAATTACGGAACCAACGATAGATTAGATCAAACTCAAGAAAACCTAGAATCAACGTTTGAAAACCTCGACCCAATAAATTATTGAACCAAAGAACCAAGACAATCGTTAACAATATCTAATCCTGTGATTACAAAACTTATGAACCTTACTTAAATTGATGAACGCCACAAGAATTTAATTCTTAATAAATTCGGAATTAATTCAATGAAAAACGAGTTAAAAGCAATATGCATCGCAATAATATCTCTCAAAATTGTGTATTTTACAGTGAAAAGAATAATCTTATTTATATGAAATCCCTAAAATCTAACTAAAAACGGAGTTAAACCTTAAAATATATAAAAAGAATACCATAAAAGAGTTTCAACTAAAATAGAAATTTAGATGAAATTTGAAAAAATGCATCCCTGTTTTGCACTATGCGGTCGCATAGGTGTGAGCACAAGGTCGCATAGGCCTTTCTTTAGCATTCAGTGTGATTTCGGTATGGAAGCATGCGACGGTACCCAGGTTTGTACTATATGGTCGCATAGTAATCCGTCTTGCCTCCAAGTTTGAGTCATTGATTCCAATGCATTCCAATTTATTTTCGCACCCATGTGCAACATAGCACTTGGTTTTTAGCTTGTTAACTTCACCGTCTTGTACTCCGTAGCTTGAACAAGTGATTTCAAAGCTTCATCAACTCTATTTGATCTCGAACTTGGCCTTAGCCTCTCCTCAACATACATCGAACAATTGATAGCTTGTTGTCTTCCTTGTATCATATCATTGATTAAATCTCAAGAGGGAGTACTTCATATATTTTTTAGTGGGAGTGAGCAAACACAAAATAAAGATGTAGGTATTGAATGTGAGTTTAATAAGAATGATATTAGAGATAATACAATTGAATAACAACATTGTTTGGTGAATGAAGAGATACATACTGAAGATGACATTATAAATGATGTGAAAATATGAATAAAAGGGATAATGAACTATTTTTCCTTGATATTATTAATCCAGTAAATTGGAAAAATATGATTTAGAACTTAGAGTTTAATTGTAATAAAAGGTCATGTAAGAGATAATGATGTCATTTTTTCGAAAGATATAGCAACGAGACACTCCTCCTCTACACATTATGTTCGACGATTACCTAATGGAGAAACGCATTACAGAAAGTGGTTGATATATTCTAAAAGTTCAGACAAGGTATTTTGTTTTTGTTGTAAGCTATTTAAGAATGACGGAAACATAATTCAATTGGCACATGATGGTGTGAATGATTGAAAAAAAATGGTGAAAAACTTAAAATACATGAAGTAAGTTGTGACAACATCACTAACATGAGTAGATGAATTAAAATAAAAAATAAGATTTGAAAAGATTGCAACAATTGATAAAAGTATGTAAGAACAAATCAATAGATATAGAAAACATTGAAAACAAGTTTTATTTAGAATAATATCAGTGGTGAGAACTCTTGCTAAAAATAATTTATCATTTAACAGAGAGAATGAGAATATATACCAAGAAAATAATGAAATAATTACTGAGTTTGATTCTGCAATATAAGAGTACATTTGTCGAATTCAAAATAAAGAGATTTATTATCATTATCTTTGGCATAAAATTCAGAATGAGATCATGAAAATAATCATTAAGAAACTTAAAGAATTCAAGTATTTTTCTATTATAGTTGATTGCACTCCAAATTCGAGTCACGAAGAACAAATATCTATAGGATTAATGTGTATAAATAATTCAACAAGTCCAGTGAAGGTAAACAAATTCTATTTAGGATTTTTATTGGTAGATAATGCATCTCCGAATGTAGTTTTTGATGAACTTGTGGATGCTTTGAATAATTTAGAACTTGAAATTGATGATGTAAGGGGTCAATGCCAAGATAACGGTGCTAACATGAAAGGAAAAAATAGATGAGTAATAAATAGACTACTACAAATAAATCCTAGAGCATTATACACTCCTTGTGGGTGTCATAATCTTAGCCCTTGTTTGGTAGATATTAAAATCAGATTTTTAGTAGATTTTGATAAAAGTTGATGAAATGTGTGGTTGAAAAGTTGTTGGGTCCAAGAAATGTGTGACTAAAATTAATTGTTAACTTCGACTTGAGATTTTAATTGAATTTTAATCCAAACCAAACAGGGGTTTAATCTTGCACTTGTGATATGACAACTTGTTGTTCAAAAGATAAATGTTTCTTTGAAGTGATGCAACGTATATACAATTTGTTTTCATCATCTACTAAAAGGTGAAATTTTTTCAAAGATAATGTAAATGTACCTCTCTTACACATAAGTAATTCGGCTTTTAGTTCTTTCTCTACTTTTTCTCAAGGTATGATTTTGGCCCATTTGATCAAAGCTTGTCTGCTACAATTCTTAGGGATAAAAAGGATCCACTAGGAAGATGGAGAAATCCTTCTCAGAGCAGAGTGATTGGGATTCTAGGAAGCAAGTTTTTCTCGAGGAATTCTAACATACTCCATGCAGCTACTCAGGTAAATGGATCCAAATCACAATTTGAGTGACTATTGCCAAGGAAAGCCTAAAATCAGGGTGCCACTTTTTTAATGAGTGGAACAACAGCTATTGAAATTTTCGATTTTCTATTCACCCAGTTCACTCGGACTGGGATGGCTTTTGACCTAAGTGGGGTTGTTCCACAAGGACTAGTAAAGTTGGAATTTAAAAACTTGCTTCTAAGGTGAGTATTTATACACCTTTACTACACTTGAAATTCTACCCTGAAACCCTTGTCACAACTATGTTGGGAAAGTCATATTGAAAGTGTTAGAGCAATAAGATTCCAAACTCCATGGAAAAAAAAATACTCTACGTCAATTGGCAAGTGTTGATGATCCTAAATCAAAATAAAGGTGAAGTGTCGACAACATATTCTTAATTGGGATGGTCATTTTTCAAAAGCTATAGTAGAGGTGTCAAGACGGACGGGCCGGCCATAACCCGTGAAAACCGGTCCCTGAAAATCGGGACCGCGGGCCGAGTAACCGGCCCTGAACCCGCAGCGGGCGGGCTTTTTTTCTCACGGGCCGTTACCGGGCTCACATGTTGGCTGGTCGACCCGGTCCGGACCACCCGGATTGACACCTCTAAGCTATAGAGAAACTGTGTTTAAATTGGTCATGGTTAATGTTAAAGAGATTACAAGTGAATTAAAAATTAAATCGGTATTTCGTGAAAAATAAGTTATACATAAAAAGAAGTAGTTTGATGAGACATGAAAAGGCTTAAATCTATTGATAATACTAGTTTGGAGTGTTCTTGCATTAACTTTAGAAATACTTGAAGCATAACATGCTTTTTGACATTGACACGATAGAATTATGTTGAGTTAAAAGCTTTAAGTGAAGCAATACATACATAAACTATGAATTGTTGTTTCGCAAATGTTTGGGTTGCTAATAGATTACTATTCACTATTCACGTCACTATTGCTTTCGTCGAAAGAAGTTTCTCAAAGTTGAAATTGATTTAAGTATTGTCTTCAATTAACCATGTCACAAGAGAGATTGGATGAATTAGCTATGATTTCTGTTGGGAAAAAAAATATGTTGAAAAGCTTCATTTGAGTAATTTGATTACTAATTATGGATTTCAAAATGCGAGAAGTGTGAGAAGACTAAATATTTTATTTTGCTACTCTATCTTTTGGATCGTAAAATCCCTCCATTTAAATAAAAGTATGCTATTTTTTTAAATATTTGGTATTGCTATACTTGTAAAAAATTATATATAAGAGCCTCATAATAAAACCAAGGGCCTCAAAATTCTCAGGTAAAACCCTGAATCCAATGTTTATGAGCATTTAAAATCAATACTAAATGTGTTCCAATTAATAAACTATAAACAATTAGACTGAGCCCTCGTTTGACACCCGTTAATTTCTCTTTCTCATTCTCATTCAGATTCACATCCTCATTCCTCATTTCAACCGGACACTCTCCAAATAAAATAATATTACATACAAATCAAAAAAAAAATTCATCACTTTTCCAACACACATTCTTACATGAATCACTATTTCAAAATTTCTATTATTCTCAAAATTAGATTCAAACACAAGCTGAATTATATTAAACGTTTGCCTATGAGGTAAGCAATGCGTCCATCAGCTAAGCAATAAACAATAAAATAGACTGTGCAAGGTTTGCAACATGCTCGAGCTGTAGTGCATGTCTGAGGCGATTGACATTTATGTGAAATGATTCTTTCATTGGTAATACCTCAGCCAAGATACTTTGTACACCAGCAGACTTAACAGTCCTGCAATAGATACTCAAATATATGATAACCTCTTTATGCAAGTAGTCTCACAAAAAGTAACATTGACCATTTCTATGCTAATTATGAATTTTTTATTTTCCCAATGTTGAGTTGTTCAAAATGATTTATTTTCCCCCAAGTAATCATAGTCCAGGAAAGTTCCCAGCAATCCCCACAATAGTCTTCCCCACCTCACGCTACCCATATATAAAATTATAAATATAAATATATGATGCGTCCCAATTCCATCTATATGAGAAACTTGCAAGAATGGTCCTCAACTTGTTGGACAAGTAACAAGTTAGTCCCTAACCTTTAAAAAGAAACAAAATAATAATCACCTTACTATTATAGTTGCACGATAAATCCTGAAAGATAAGTCCTCAACT